GGTGACTCTACCCTTCTTCATCCTACAGCTCTCTCCCTGTATGCAAGTCCTGCTTAACTTTTTCCTGCCTAGCTATTGACCATTTAGCACTTTATTAAATCAATGAGAGCAACACACATTGTTGTTGTGTGTGTGTGTGTGTGTGTGTGTGTGTGTGTGTGTGTGTATGTGTGTGTGTGGGTATGTGCTGGGGGGCTTGTGTATGTGTCCTTGGTATGTGGGCTCATATGTGTATTCGTGTGTGTGTGTGTGTGTGTGTGTGTGTGTGTGTGTGTGTGTGTGTTTATATACTTGTGTATGTATATGTGTGCATGTTTGTATATGTGTATGTGCTTGGGGTAGGCTTGTGTGTATGTGAAAGAACATATTTTTTCTCTGTCTTTTGCATAGCAATTTAATAATACTCTGAAATGTTTGTGATCTTCTGCCTTAAGTGCATTAATCAACAATTTCTCCAACATTATAAGAAGAAGAGAGAAAAGCAAGAAAGAATTCTCTCTTTAGCTGGAGTTGTTGCACCATTTGCTAGACTAATAGTACTGTTCAGCTTAGCCTTTGCCCAGTGCATTCTTCCAGCCAACACTTACAATCCCTGGAGCTCCAGTGAACTTCTGATATACCACCTCTTTTAAGTATTGCAATGACCTTGAGAGCTAGACAGGGTGCACTGTTTTGTGGACACATTTCATAGATTTGGTAACTGAGAAACCTGGTTATGAATACCTGGATGCCTGTATCTCATTCTTAGTGAACAGTGTCCTTTCTGCTGTCTCTCACCCTTAGAGAGGACAGGAGAGAACAGGAAGTAGGAGCCCCTGTGATCCCCTCTCTCAATTTCTCTCCTCCAAATGCCATCTTGCTTCAAGGTAATGTTCCTGGGTAGATGAAGCAGAGTGTGAGGAAGCCATCTGCTTTGGGTGTTTGCAATATTGCTCAAGATCAACACTATGGACAATTTGTGCTAGATAATTACTGTAGAGGGAAGAGCACTTATTCCTTATCATACATCTAGCCACAACACTAACCCTTACTCACATCTTAGAAGAGTGCAAACTGCGTACCACAAATGGATAAAACTAGAAGAGTTAAAATTTGTGTTTCCTTTTTAATTGAAAAGAGGTCAGGTTACTTCATGTTGCAGGGACAAGAAAAAGCAAGATATAAAAATGTAAGAGTAGGCACTCTTTCCCCAGGATGAGCTGTTATGGGGTTTGCTATACAGAGCTTTTTGGTTTGTTTGTTTGAACAAATAGCTCAGGAGATGCCAAGAACTTCAGTCCATTTTGGGAAAAGACAAGATATTTGAACAGCTTGACACTGGAAGGCATAAATTGTCGGAGAGAAAAATGTGAGCTGGAGAGATTTGTAAATGTGGCAGACAGTAATCCTGGTATTTCTTGTTAATTGTTTTTCTCAGGCAAGAGACTTTCTGTGATTTACATTGTGGAGCAAGATGATGGTTGAGCCAGACAGCTCATCACCTCCAGAGGAGATGAGTGGGGACATGACAGCTGTCTGGGAAATGAAAGGGCAGTCAGGACAGGGTGCTCTGCTGCCTTGGAACTTCTCATCTTTTCAAGAGTGTCAACAGAGCTACCATGTGCCCTGGGGGACAAGTGGGTAGAACAGAGACCTGCACACAATAGCTGCAAAGTAAGTGGCAAAACCCCTTTCCATCCAGGACTTCAGACTGCTGTAGCCTTCCTAGTGAGGACCTTTGCAAACCTGTGTGCGTGTGTGTGTGTGTGTGTGTGGGGGGGGGAGAAACAAGAGATGTCAGAGTGAATAGAAAGATTTCTACAAAACAGGAAAACCTTTGCCAGTGCACATGAAATTCGCATCCCCCCTTCTCCCCATCAAAGATTGATGTCGGGTGCCTTCCTCAGCTGCTCTCTATCTTTTTATTTAATTTTTGAAACAAGGTCTCTCTCACTGAAGCTGAGGTTGATTCATCACCAAACTCTAGGAATCTTCTAGTCTCAGCCTCCCCAGTGTTTGGGTTATAGATATATACCACCACACCCAGCGTTTTTGTGTGAGTACTGGGCATGGTGTCCAAGCCCTAGTCTTCATGCTTACACTGTACATACTTCACCATCTCAGCCATGTCCCAGCCCCTTATGCAGCTGTAAGCTTTGCATGAGGCCAGTGTCGGGGGCAGTTGTGGAGGGGAAAGAGGAAATGGTTGACATCTCTCCCAATCCTGTGTTCCTTTGTCTTCCTGGAAGCAGTTTGTTCAGAAGATGCACCTTCCATCTCCATACCTTGGGGATAAAATAAGACCTGCTTGTCCTGTCTGCAGACTTGAGCAGATTCACAGCCACAGTCAGAAGAGGTTTGGGGAAGATGCCTATTGGTAAATTTGTGGTTAGGACTGGGCCAAGGAATCCTGAGGGTCAACAGGACACTTTAAGAGAGAAGCAGTGTTATCGACAAGGTGCATTAGTCTGGGCAGTGACAGACAGTGTTTCAGAGTCCCCTTCACAAAGGGGCTCTGTGTCAGAGGACTTGGAGGTTTTATAATGTGGCAGTTAAGTAACAATGATTCCTTTCAGAAGAAAGTCATGATCATTGATGGCATTAGATGGACACCCTGATACTTTTGACTTTGATTCCTGGCTTAACTGTGTTAGACTTTTAATGCTAGGCTCTTCTTGCCAATGGCTGGTGCCTCTTTGATCCATGGGCCTGTGTGTGTGTGTGTGTGTGTGTGTGTGTGTGTGTGTGTGTGTGTGTGTGTGT